GAATCAAAATGGGAAAAAAGCTGACGCAGATGGCACTATCAATGAATTAACGTATCGAGATCGGACAGTGATTTTCTTTCATTGTAAGCCAAGCTTTCGAGGTATGAGAGCGAGGAATTGAGCAATTCGAGAAATAACGGACAGTCTAATACACATGTATACATTCGTTGATGAATTTGTGTACTATTGAAAAGAAAAAAAAATTCACCAACGAAAGAGGACGGTAAAAAAAGGAACATTGTTATCGCGAGGGATCCGCGATACGCGACCAATATGCAAACGCGATTTATAAAAATTAGCACGCGATCTATATACGGTAGTACGTGCAGTGGCTCGGTTGAATTTTTGCATATACATCGAGCGCGACTGCATCTGTTGCACATTCGCGCCTGTGTGTAATATTATATTTAGCAATCAACGTGTCTACACGATATATTGAATAACGTAATCGTGTATATTGTATATGTGCTGCGCGAGCTTGTACATAGCACGAGCTGCGCGATATATTCTATGTACAGTCTTGCTCGTGAACGACAAACGTGTATGTACGTAATAAAGCAGTGATAATAGGGGAGAAATTCGAGGCATATTCTTTTATTTATTCACTTCACGAACTGCGTAATACATCGGGGATTAAAATGCACTATAAACGAATGATCGAACGAGAATATTTTTACATTCGTCGCGCACGTGTCGCGATCGCGTCAATCTCTCTCTCTCTCTCTCTCTCGATGTCCTCGCCTCCCCTTCATTTCAAATGCAGACGAAAAGTATTAGCTGCACTTTCGAGATATTTAATCTTTAGATCGAGAGATTATTCGTTGCGAATATGTGGCATTTCACGTCAACTCTCCCAGTGTCGCGCGGCGCGGCAGAATTAAGTCAAATCACTAAATTTGTGAATCGCTGTAAAAGTACTAAAATGCACCTAGAGAAAAAAACGAATCCATGATTTCGATGGGAAATCGCCTCAGCTTTCCGATGGTGAGGTCAGATTTTCCGAAATTTTCCGCTTTACCCGGGAAAATCGCTGGGAAAACTTTAAAGTCGATTATCTCGGAAACTTCATTTTTAAGATTTTTTTAAATAGTCTAGATCGAAAGATCAGGAAATTTCCCATCGATATAGACCTTTTCCAAAGAGGCGTTTTTTGATTTTAGCGAGATATAGCGAGAGAAAGAAGAAAAAACGTGGTTTTTTCGCGCGCGCGGGCGGTCGGACGCCACCAATTGAACAAAAAACCACGTTTTTTCTTCTTTCTCTCGCTATATCTCGCTAAAATCAAAAAACGCCTCTTTGGAAAAGGTCTATATCGATGGGAAATTTCCTGATCTTTCGATCTAGACTATTTAAAAAAATCTTAAAAATGAAGTTTTCGAGATAATCGACTTTAAAGTTTTCCCAGCGATTTTCCCGGGTAAAGCGGAAAATTTCGGAAAATCTGACCTCACTATCGGAAAGCTGAGGCGATTTCCCATCGAAACCATGGGTTCGTTTTTTTCTCTAGGTGCATTTTAGTACTTTTACAGCGATTCACAAATTTAGTGATTTGACTTAATTCTGCCGCGCCGCGCGGCACTGGGAGAGTTGACGTGAAATGCCACATATGTATTTTTCCAAACTCGAGTATATGAAGCTCTACGAGAGTGCACACTGATTTTCTACTGCGTAGTGCACAATTAATTTATGCACAGACATGAAACAACGGCTGTAAAAACTGCACATGGACACTCGGATTCACGTACATTGCCCATCGGACGTTTATTTTGTGATATTTTCATTTTTTTATCCTCGCCCGGGCTCCCGGGCCCACGCAAAGAACTGCAGTACGCAAAATGCATAAGCTTTGTAAATAAGAGCACAATACGTGTTGTAGAATTAATTCTTCTATTCATCTTTGTCTCTTGCTCTGTATCTCTCACTCTTTTTTTTTTCACACTCGCAGTTGATTGAAAACGGATTAGTAGTCATTTCTTCCTACATACGTTTATTTTACGCTTTACTCATGGCCATATATGCATTTATGCAGAGGTACAGAATGATATCTATCATGTAGAATCGAGCACGCGTCTAGGGCGTTTGAGCTTGTTGCAAGGCTAAGACTAATATGCGTTCAGATTTCGTTTTCACTTCGCGCGTGTGTGAGCGAGGGTATGCGCGCGAAGCATTACGTGGCCTTGCAAATAAAAGTATACAAAGTAAAAGTGTGCATACGATAATCTGATTTTCTTTCGAGACTCCAGCTCGTAATGCCGACACATTGTCTATGTATATACATAATGCGCGCGATCGCATGCAAGCCGAGAATTAGTTCGATAGCTGGAGGAACTGTAAAATTTGCCACGTGTGCGTGTTTTTCGTTGCATTTCTGCAGATAGCGCTGAGAAACGATTTTACTCGACCCTCGATGAGATTATTAGGTACACGTATTATTATTGTATGCATGACGCGTACTTGGGGGTGACAATTTTAAATCGACAAAACACATGACGCGGTCTATTGATTTCCAGCAGCTAGCGGGATTAAAATATTTCACACTCTGACACACGCAATAGATTTCAATAGATTATTTTCAAAATCGGCCTTTCATAAGATAATTTTGTTCACGGGCTCAAAGGAAGCTAAATGTCTATTTTCATTATTATATTTTTCGAGAAAAAAAAAGTGACGAGAGAATTTCGTTGAATAGGTTTTTTTTTTTTAATGAACGTTCATGGATTTGCTCAAATTAAATTTTTGAATATGAAGCACACGGGATTAAAATGATTAATTTCATGTTACGTTTTTACACATTCGAGCACAGTATAAGACAAAAATCTCGCCAAACCGAATGGAAATCAATTGACAATTGAAATTTCGTTAATTCTCAAAGCAGCATGTAACTGAAAATATTAACTAATGAAAAAATTTTAACTGCCCATCGCTATATATATTTTTCCGTGATTTTATACGCTTATATCGCGTGTATCACAATCGACATTAATTTCCCTACATTATACATCGTTACTAATAAAGTTTCCAAATCGACCTACTAAATTCCGACGCATCATTCGATGACATCGGCGCGCAAGTGTCAAAAGCTCGCGCAAACAATACGACCGTATAGGGTGGTGAGCAAATAACACAAGACCGGAGCTAATATGCGGTGTACGCATAATTCGCGCCACGCGCTCCGGACAAACTCGAAATATAAAGAGCGCGCGGATAGACGAGGGGCGCGCGTACGGCTTTTCACGGCTCATCGGGACGTCTGTAGCTGCCACCCTAAATTACTAACGAAGGGAGACACCGAATCGCGTTGAAGTGCACCCTCGTGTCTTTATATACACATCGGAGCTCGTAAATGGCTCGTTTTGATTCGGGAATCTCGACGTGTGTAAACACGGCTCTCTTACTCTTCGTCGACTAAGTGTCCGTACGCGTTAATCTCGCGCGCTGCACTTTTGCATCGTTCGTCGCTCGCGCAGCAGCCTTTCCAAGTGAGCAACGTCGAAACTTGATCCGGGCACGAACGTAGTATATATACGAATTTGCGTGGTATATGTAAGAGTTTGCGACTTGCGGGGGGTGGCATCACGTTGTTCTGGCGCGAGCTCGGCTGACACCTGACAATTCCAACATCGAACGTCGCGCGTTCGAACTTTCGCGCGCGAGGGCGCGCGCGCCTGCGGTCGCTTCCGCAACTTTGCTAGCCGATGATATACATAATGCACGAGTATGTATCAGCTCGATCCTCGACGTTACGCAAATTTAAACATATTTTACACGTGTCACCCAGCGTCACTATGTATCTGGTATTACACCTACTCGTTCGCGCGTAAAAGGGTGACGATTCGCTCCGGTCTGGTCAAGCATTTCTTATCATGATTTTCTTACGTATATAGTTGGCGAGCATCTTGGACTCATACAATATGCATGATGTAACACGACGGTGCATGCTAAACGAGCAAAGTTGTGTGCCATCCTTTCGGCATGTAATTGACAAACAAGGAGGCAACGATCTCTATGCATGACAATTGGATACATTGCCCGCCTCCGGCGCATGACGCACGTTTTCTTGCTGTTTTTGGCTGTTTTGCAAAAAAAGAAAAAAAAAACAACCGAATTTATTACTGACGATGATGTTTTTTCTCTATTTTTCTATGTGCATACAGATTAGGTTTTATGGAATGATTCGTCAAGCCAACGACTAACAGCTGGTAATAAGCGCTCTTCTACTCAACTAACAACACCGCATCTTTATCGATGTATATTCGATGTTGCCTATCTATCTCTCTGTGTCTCTTTCTCTATATATATAAATGTAACGTGTGTCTCTTTTGCATCTCTCTGTTTCTACGTCGACGACCCGATCGATAATCAACGCGATATAATAAAATAATAAAAAAAATCAAAGTGTCTATTCGGGGGAAAATTCGTACACGAAATCTTTCCTAGAGATCTCCAGGATTATTTGGAGTTTCGCACAGTACGAATTTTTCACTGGACATCCCCGACAAAGTACAAATACAAAAATAAAAAAAATATATATTATCGATCGACCGCGATACCCGCGCGACAATTCAAATTTATGCGTACTCACGCGCGCGCACCCTCGCGTATCGTACCTCGTCATTATATACCCTCCGCGCCGTCGAGCCGTATCAAAACAGTCGACTACCCTACCGGCGGCCAAAAGTCTTACTCCCTCCAGAGCGACGCGGCTTTGCGAACAACGATAATGATACGAGACGAGAAAAAAGCTGCAACCCCTCGACTCGACGCCGTCGCAGCTGGTACGGCGGAGCTCGCGCGCGGATCGATACTCGCTGGCAAAAGTAGGCTAGCTCGCGTATATATACAGAGCAGTAGTAGTGCGTAGTTGTCGTACCCTCGACCAATACAGCGATCGTCTTCGCTCGCGTATATACCAACCCCCTCACTAGCTGTTGTGCCGACATATCAAGCTAACACGAGCACTCCTTGTCCGGTGTGTTTTTCTTCTGTTGTAATTTCCGCAGTGCTAACGGGAGGCCGCCAGTGTGCAGCGCCAAGAAACCACCCCTACCCCCTTCCACCAACACCAGTCAGCAGCAGCAGCAGCAGCATCGCAGCAATTACGGCCTCGGCGGCGGCGTCACCGCCAACAATTACTCCTCACCTTTATCGTCGTCGAGCGCGGGCTTGGAGCAGCAACACAACGGCTCGCGCAGACGCGCCACCACGGACCTCGGCAACCCGGCTGCCATCATCGAGATGGCGAAGGCGCGCGCCGCGATGCTCTCCACGGCCACCGCGACGACCACCACCGGCCAGCAGTCCTCCTCCGAGCATCATCATCATCATCATCAACAACAGAACAATAATCGAAGCAACGCCGGGAATGAGCAGCAGCATCACCCGTACCAGTCCCATCAGCAGCAGCACTACAGCAATCCAAGGCCCTACGGACTGCTCGAGACCGATCTCGACGCTCCGCTCGATCCGTCGGAGCTCGAGGCGGCCAAGCGGGCCTCGCGCAGCCTGCTCAATCTCAATGGGACGCAGTCGTCGTCGTCGGCTGGTAACAACGGTGCGTCCTTGTTGTCGCAGGACTGCTGCGACGACGCCGCGGCGGCGGCTTGTGGCGGCGGCGGTGCGGTCAGTTGTGCCAATAATCCCGCGATAAGTGTCCACGGCCACAATCAACACAGATACCATCATCTCGGCTCGCCGCAGCAGAGGTACGGCTACCATCAGCATCATCAGCATCAAGGCAATCATCGTCATCAGTTGACGGCGGCGTCGGCCACCGCGCAGTCTGCCGCGGCTTCCGGACAGAGACCACACAAATCCATGGAGTTTCTACTGGATAAGGAGAACATTCATTACATACAGGTTAGTGTCTCTTTTCGTGTCTCTTTTATACCATCTGCGTGTGTGTATGTATCGTAGGTGTGTGTATGTGTAAAGCAAAATTTTTCCGCAATTGCGGATCGTTATCGTGTGGCAGTTTCAGTGTGTATGCGCGAGAGAGAGAGAGCGTCAGTGTGCATGTACTTGTGTACTTGTGTGTGTGTGTGAGACAGAAAGGAAATGGACCGCGTGCGCGCACAGTCGCCGTGTATAGTTCGCATGTGCCTTGCTCTGCGAAACTGGTTCGATAATATCGTCCGACACTCGCTCGTTTTATTCTTGTCGCTCGTTATTTTTTCTCTTTCTTTTTTTTTCTTTTTATTCTTCAACAGATACTCCAATACTTGGAGATGAACGCGATACAACGAACTAGATTATTTTAACGTCAAAACGAGTTTAATTTAAAAGAAAGAACTAAAAAGCTCCAATTCGAAGAAAAAGGAGAGAATTAAGCTTGATTTATCCAGGCACGTGACTTGCAGCCAACGAGAGAGAAAAAAATCCAGCGATATAATTCGACTCGGCTTGATTGTCTTCCGGGTTTAGGTCAGGGCACGCGCGGGGTGAGGTAACGAGAGAGATAATGGGAAAAACGCAGCTGTGCTTTGCAGCGGAAGCATATACGTGTATATAACAACACGCAACGCAGCAACAGAAGTATAACAGCCGGAGAGTCGCGAGTCCATCGATTAGCTTTCGGCGGCGGCGGCGGGGGGGGCTCGTTCGACTCGGTTCCGCCAAAATTTAGGCCACGCATTATATTTTCGTACGTACGGCACGGCGTATGGTACAAGCAAAGCTCCCTCTTTTCCAAGCCTATACGTGTTCGGGGTAGTTGTATACGTATCGCTTCGTTACAATCTCGAGAGTTGACTTTGTGATCTCTCCGTCGTATATATTTCATCTCGCGTGGCCACTTCGTATACCCCAAGAACGCTTTATGAATCATCGTCCTGCGTGGCTTTATCAAACGGTGGTAGAAGTAGTAGCAGTAGCTCGACGCACGCCATTGAAAGGGAAAATAAAAATAAAAGCTCGTCGCAAGCTCGCTCGTATATCGCAATCAGACTCGTTGAATCTCTCTCTCTCTCTCTCCCCTGCACGAATGCAGCCGCGTGCCATTAAACCTGTGCCTCCCTTTTTTCCGCAGCAAAAAAGAAAGAAGTAAATAAAAAGAGCTAGAAAAAAATGAGGCAGGATATCAGCGTGGCTTGTATCATACATATATATACGATGCGTATGCAGTTTGCGACTACTGCTTTCGCGCCGTTACGGTTGTGCGACGGCGCAGGTGTATAGCTGGCGCATCATCGTCCTCCTCCTCCTCTTCCTCCTTCAGCAGTAGTATTTACTACTACCACCACCAACAACTATCTCCAGCTTTTTTACCGTTCGCTGCAACGGTAGCGAGCGTGTGCATATGTGCAGCACTGGAATCGCGGCAGAAAATTATGTAACGCAGGAAAGTATCAGCACGATGGCGCGCATCGATGTGTGTGCAAGCTCGCGCCCGTGAGAGCTCGTGCCCGCACATGCACATATTATGCAGCCGTGTGCCTGCAGAGTCCGCGTGCACGAATACCATCGAACGCGACAAACGCGCGCACACACACACACATATACACACACGCGTAGGTAGGAGTCTGCGCACCCTCGACGCGACTCTCTATCGCGGGCGCGGGGAAACACTCGACGTCGTCTTCGTCGTCGTGAAAGCTCTGAATATATATAGTACACACATGCAATGCACCTACACACACACACTTACAGAAACTTCGTACATGTATACATGCATAGCGAAATAGGTATATAGCCAGCGGAGAGAGTGAGAGAGAGAGAGCCATCCCGAAACGTGCATCTATAGATATATATTATTTCGCGATGCGATGCTGCTGCAGCGCTCTTAAGCAGAATCCTCGTGTTGTGCTCTCTCTCTCTCTCTCTCTCTCTCTCTCTCTCCGCTGCTCTACGTCGTCTGCTGCAACTGCAGCCAGAGCCACTCTATATACTCGGCGCTCGGGAACACACCCTTATATAGCTCGGCGCGGAGCTTTACAGCAGCAGCAGCAGCGGAATAGAGATAGAAGGAGGTGGAGGAGAAAGTATATAATATTATAACTGCCCGTTCGTCGTCGTCGTCGTCGTCTGCGGCCGCGACACACACGACTTGCTTCGTTCGGCTGCTAACATACAGGTTGGTGCAGTTCACACGACTGTAGCAGTGTCCTGTGTTTTTTTTTGGCTCTCTCTCCGGATCTCTTCGAATCCCTCGTTTATTTTAATTTCTTCGTTTTGCTCTACGTATCGACGAGATACGAGTGCGTGGACGAGTGCGTGGAGTGCGTATATAATACAACCCCATATCCACGTTGACGTGTTTTAATTGTGGTGCGCGCCACGGGGGTTGTGTACGTATACATACCATAATAATAATAATAATATATATAGCCGTGCTCGTGCGTCAGTAGTCTCGACTGTGCGTGAAAAAAAATTATATACACATACAGTCAACGAGAGGCAGAGAGAATCACTGGTGCGTGTGGTGCGTTAACGCAAAAAAAAACGCTTATACGTGTACGTACGCAAGGTTCACGCCCTCATTTTCGCCAGTCGAGTCGTGTGTGCGAGTGTCTTGTGTGTGTGTGTTACTCTTTCTCAGTGCACTCGTGCGATCGTGCGATACATCAAGGCGCGTACATACAGGAGAGATTCGTTATACATATGTGCGTGTGCTCGTTGCAACGATAACATAATTGTTTCGGGCCAAAACGTCATGTACGCGCGCCACCTCAAGACACATGCACGTATTGGTACGTATATATTTCGTCTGCTAAGAGTGTGTGTGTGTGAATGTGTACGATATCGTGCGCACATACAGGGTGAAAAAAAAAATAAAAATAAAAATAAACGAGGGGTGGAAAAAAAGCCCGCGCGAATCCAGTATATATATATTCTGCTACGCACGCGTGCTATATAGGTGCGCGAGCGAGCGGACACCGCCTTATTCTCCGTCTCGCTCTGTCGCGCTCACCCACCATAGTACCAGCAACCCCCGACGCGAGCGCCGTGCTCGACTGCTTATGTGTGTGTGTACACACGCACGACGTTGTGCACACGATCTCGCTGCGGCTCGTTTCTCCATCGGCCATAGTTTATATGCGTTATTATAAAATAATACGATTACAACGAGGGAGAGTCGAGAGCGATTCGTCGAGCGATTTTTGATTTTATTTTTTTCGGGCCGCTCGGGAGAGCTCGCGGGCGCGCGCACGCATACACGGCCGCGAGTGAATGCGCGTCCCACGAGGGACAACCTTGACCCAATTTTCCTCAGCTACGGTGTATCCCTTCGCGAGTCGGTATTATATGTGTGTATGTACGGGGTGCGTATACGGCGCGCGCCAGGATGAAACGCGTCGTTCGATAAACACGCCGAGGATATATTCGACGAGTATCGCTGCTGCGTTGACGCCGCTACTGTCGTCGCCGCTGCCTCGGCCAAAGATATAACTGCGTTAAACATATTCGCATCCGTATATTATGCATACGAATGCCACTCCCGGAGGGATACGCGTATTAGATCCAGCGGCGCGGTGTGTATCGCCCTCGTGGATTTTCCGCCAGCCCTTTTGTAAATGCATAATTCATCGCGCGAAAGCTGCAGTTATACACTAGACTCCGTTGCGCACTTCTGTCTGTCTTTCTCTCCGTGTTTCTCTTTTCGTTGAAAATTTCGACTCTCTCGCTGTGTTCGCGTGCGTCACTTTGGCGCAATTGACGTATATGTGTGTGTTTAACTCGACGTTTATACACGGTAATACACTCGGTAAAAAAGTAAAAAAAGAAAATAAATAAAAAAACGTTTTCGTGTCGTTCGTGCTCTAAATATGTGTGTGTGTGTGTGTGTGTGTGTGTACGTGCAAAAGCTCTCTCCGTGCCGCATACATATATACACGAGGGCAACCGCGCGCGCGAGAGAGATAAGATTCGTTCGCTCGAGAAACAGCAGCTTAAAAGAGAGCGAAACGCGTCGGCGCTCGACGGGTAAAAGCCTTTCGTTCGTAGCCGTGTGCCACCTGCGTACACGTATTTCGTATTTAAATTTACCACGGCCGACGTAAAATACATACAATAATATAAAGTCGAGCTGTAAAGTCTTATCACCGAGGCTGGAAGTCGCGGTCGACGACTATGTGTGTACTGGAAGTGGTGGTGCGCGCGGCCTTTTTTTCTCTCTCTCCGACGTTTTAATAATCTCGATGTAGAAAAAACCGCAGATACGTATACGCCAAAGCTCGAGGGGATACACGGAGAGAAAACGCGACAAGTGGCCGAGAAAAGAGAAACGAAACGCACGCAAAAGCACCCGTAGGCGTATTGGAATAAAAGCGCGCGACCGCAATCAATTCTATGTATAAAGATAAAGCTCGAAAACGAGTCGTCATCCCCCGTGACACTACTGCATTCGGTCTAGTAACTCGTTTGTTATATAGTGGATAAATACGGACGCGCGCGCGTGTAATATAAGAGCGAGCTTTAATCATCGATGAATAACGTCTAATACGCGCGCCTGTGTGCATTAGAAAGGGGGAAAAAGCTCTCATGTTTATATACGTATATGGATCGACGAGCTGACTCTGCTCTCTTCTTCCGTATTATATACGTAGGGGAAAGCGGGGCACGTAGACTCACCTAACTAAAATGCTCAATATAAAGTTTGTAATAAGAATAAATGAAAATTTTAAACAGACCAATATCAAGATGAGAAGTCAATGAATACAATGCAATAGTCAAAAGTTATAATTTTTGCATATTAATTAAATGACAACCAAAATAAAGGAAGCGTTGAAATCAGTGCTTCTTGCCCCAGCGTGGGTAAGAGTAACTGGAGTGCGGGGCAAGAAGAGCGCACTAGAGAAGTAGGTTGCTCATGCTTGATACTGTCTGCGCGCACATTGTTAATAGACGTAATTTGTTTATGA